GACAGACGGACAGACGGACAGACGGACAGACGGACAGACGGACAGACGGACAGACGGACATGACGAAACTATAAGGGTTCCGTTTTTGCCATTTTGGCTACGGAACCCTAAAAATAGGGTTAAGAATATTTCAAATCAGTCCAGTAGTTTCAGAGCCTATTCAAAACAAACAAACAATCAAATCTTTCCTCTTTACAATATTAGTATAGTTAGACTACTTATCTTTTGCTACAAATGTGACTACATAATATTGTTCTCATGGAAATAAACTAAACACTAAACTGTGTATAACTTCCACATAGATTTTTTATCCCTCAACATCGACCTAACAAAATCACCCGGATTACCAGGCGCCAATAAGTGGCGTGCAGGTCTAACGAGCGGCTAAACGGCTCCATTCGCTAATCCCGTACAGTTTGAGCGAAATTCGGACCGCTCGTAGCTTAGTCCTCCACATAGAGATATAGAGAGATGCCAACTAATGCCCCAGCGGCCATCAACTCTACGAGCTATGTGCCCCGCCTACTGCCACTTTATTTTAGCGATTCTGCGGGCTATGTCAGTCACTCTGGTTCTCCTACGAATCTCCTCATTTCTGATTCGATCACGTAGGGAAACTCCGAGCATAGCACGCTCCATCGCCCTTTGGGTGACCTTGAGCCTTCTTATGAGGCCCATAATAGCCCGTCTCAGCTCCGTATACCATCACTGGCAACACACACTGGTCAAACACTCTTGTCTTGAGGCAATACCGCAATACCGAAATACCTCAATTTCTGACGTGAGAATATCGCGAAGCTTCCCGAAGAACGGTGGTCGAAACTCAGTGTCGAATTAGAAATTGACACACACAAAGTAATCAAAATATGTGCTTATTATCCACTGCGGTATCAGTACTCAACGTTCGAATAATCTTTAGTGTAGTACTAAAGCAAGCAATGTCAACAGTTTACATTGTGACGTCTGCAGCAATGTGTTCTGTTTTTGGGCATATTGGTCGCGGGAGGTGCCTGGATGCGAGCGGCGCAGGACCGGACTTTGTGGAAATCCTTGGGGGAGGCCTTTGTCCAGCAGTGGACGTCTTTCGGCTGAAACGAACGAACGATGCAAAAGTTTATGTGCTCATCATGATGTTAATTAAAAACATAAGCTAACTGCATGGCGTATAACTCGTAACTCTCTAAACAATCATCTCAGCGCTCGATAAATCCCAAAATCAGCCCGATAAATCTCAAGATGAGCTTGATAAACTTAGTTTGTATTCAAAACAATTAACTAATCTGACATGGTTTAAACTTGCTCTGCGTAGCCCAAAATAAAGCGATACGCAGTAAGCTTACTTACATCAGAAACCGTCGACTGCCAGTCAAACTAATATCTGTTTCATTGTGATATAGTAATAATAGATTCAGCTCAAAATTTTATGAAACGAGTATCATTTTACAGTCATTATTACTGTGATGTGCTTAAAATTCCTACAGAATCAAATTTCATTAGTTCTGAATAAGCCTTTGACACAGTTGTTTTCAGGCCATGTACTTAATTCACTTTGTTTATGGTTATTTTATGTAGAGATTTTAAATTTTCAAAATAAAAACTTTCGTACTACGTTTCCTTCAGTACAACATACAAAATTATTTTACGCCATGGTGTTTTCCCAAGTGGGAGGGGAGAACTTAATCAACGATATCAGAGTTGGAAAAGCACAACTCTCATACCACCACGTCTTAATTTACTCGTATTATTGACTAGCGGCCGTCCGCGACTTCGTACGCGCTAACTTATGCGGCTTAGATTTTTCATACAAAAGGATTTTCCAGCTAATTCCCGTTCCCGTGGGAATTTATAAGTATACTTTAACCTGCCCAGGAGTATGAAGAATAATTGTACCAAGTTTCGTTAAAATCCGTCGAGTAGTGTTTGTTTCTATAAGGTGTTGGAAAGTTAGAAACTTTTTGGTTAAACGCAAGCATATTTGAATATTTGAATTTGGCACTCCGCTGTCAATGTAAGGTTTCCAGACTTCTGGATCAAACACTCGATCTCATGTAGTCTCTGTGTGCTGTATGTTCTAAAATAAATCCGTGGTAATCTTCGTGGTCTTTTCCTTCTTACGATCCAAATTCCAACATGGTAGCAGAGCGTAGTTGCAAGAAGTGAAAAGCACTCATATTTCCGCGAGATTGGTCATACATCGCGCACTTGGAATTATTACCGTACCGGAAGCGGCGAACGGTATTCAAGATGGCTTCGATGGGATTCGGTCAGAATTGCATTGAGAGACTAAAGGGGGCAGAAAATTACTCCACGTGGAAGTTCTCGATGCGAATGGTGCTAATCCACGAAGAGTTGTGGGACTGCGTAGAAGCGGTGGCCGACGAGGACAACAAGAAGAAGGATGATAAGGCCTTAGCGCGCATCGCGCTGTCCGTGGCGCCGACCATAATTCCGCATATACGCACTGCCAAAAGTGCCCACGAAGCGTGGACAATACTGCAGAAAACGTATGAGGGACGTGGTCTGAGCAGGAGATTGGGCTTGCTGCGGAGTCTCTTCAATACGAAATTATCTGAGTGTAGCTCAATGGAAGTTTACCTGAACAAAATAAAAGAAATTTCACATCAACTAAGTGAAATTGAATCGCCGCTGGACGATGAACTCGTTGCGGTGATCATACTGAGTGGGCTCACAGATGATTACGACCCGCTCATCATGGCGATTGAGCACTCATCTTCCAAGCTAAGTACGGAAGTCATCTCGACTAAATTACTTCAGGAAACCCAAAGACGGGAAGAGAAAACTGAAGAAACGGCACTGATTACACAGAAGAACCCAAAGTGCTTCGGGTGTGGTGCCAGAGGACACATGCTGCGGAACTGTCCAAAAAGGAGTTCAACGTCCAAAGAACAGACCTCCGGGGACGAGCCAAAGAGTCAGAAACAGCAGAAGAAGCCATGGAAGAAGAACAAGGCTAATCTGTCGGCACTCTCCGTGAAGGTGAAAAGTGACGTGTGGTACATAGACTCTGGGGCCACAAACCACATGTGTAATAGTGAAAAAGTGATGGTGAAGTGCGATCGTAATAAGGTTTTTAAAGTGAGCATTGCAAACGGTGAAATGCTATCGACCGCGGGCTTAGGTGAAGTTCAGGTTCGTTTAAAAGACTGTGTAAGGACACTAAGTGAAACTTATTACGTACCTAACTTAAGTACTAATTTATTATCTGTCAGTGCTTTGACAAAAAAGGGTTATGTTGTCAAATTTGACAGAAATTCTTGTATTATTTACAATGGTGATGAAATTCTAGCTACTGGTACTCAAATCAACGGTGTTTATCAACTCGACACGGTGTCAGACAACGCCAGTACTGTGGAACAGGAGTGTACCATAGATTGGTCATACATCGCGCACTTGGAATTATTACCGTACCGGAAGCGGCGAACGGTATTCAAGATGGCTTCGATGGGATTCGGTCAGAATTGCATTGAGAGACTAAAGGGGGCAGAAAATTACTCCACGTGGAAGTTCTCGATGCGAATGGTGCTAATCCATGAAGAGTTGTGGGACTGCGTAGAAGCGGTGGCCGACGAGGACAACAAGAAGAAGGATGATAAGGCCTTAGCGCGCATCGCGCTGTCCGTGGCGCCGACCATAATCCCGCATATACGCACTGCCAAAAGTGCCCACGAAGCGTGGACAATACTGCAGAAAACGTATGAGGGACGTGGTCTGAGCAGGAGATTGGGCTTGCTGCGGAGTCTCTTCAATACGAAATTATCTGAGTGTAGCTCAATGGAAGTTTACCTGAACAAAATAAAAGAAATTTCACATCAACTAAGTGAAATTGAATCGCCGCTGGACGATGAACTCGTTGCGGTGATCATACTGAGTGGGCTCACAGATGATTACGACCCGCTCATCATGGCGATTGAGCACTCATCTTCCAAGCTAAGTACGGAAGTCCAGGCCTCCGTCACTCGCCTATGCCGGCCGAGATAATTACCTACAGCGCGCGACAACTTCAAGTTGCAAATCAGTCCGGGCCGCCACGCGCCTGTTTGCACACGCGTATCTATACACGCTCGGTCGATCATAGTCTCAATCAAGGTTTATTGTTCCAACAGCACTGTTATTCTTCTTTAATGAAAAATTGTAATATTTAGGAATCATAATTAACTGTAGTGATTTAAATAATAAAAAAAAACTACACTTTTTAAATAATAAATTATTTTGAAATACTTATGACAAAAAACTATAGCAAAAAAATTATTTTAGCTAATAAAAACATTAACTTTTCTTCACCGTGTCTATTTTCCGACACTACAGCTTTTAAAACTGTTTGTTTAATATCGAATTATCGCAACACTGAAGTTTATTAATAGGTACTTTAGAGATGGTACGATTATACAAACTCCACTAGATTAAAGTTTTCTAATCGTAAATACAATAAATGCTTCTTAAAATTAAGTTTTTATTTATTTTACTTTGCTCATACAACCCTGACGCTTGAGCGGTGACGTAGATCAATTCTAAACACAAAAAAAATGCGCTCTTGTGAGCGTAGTAGTAAGGTGCGATTTCGAATGCACCATGTGCGTTGGGTATTTTGCATTATTATTATTACCGTTAAAATGTCGGCATCTGATCCTACACAAAGGAGTGCAATTTCTGTTGCTACTATTATGTATTCTGTGCTTACGATTATTCTGTCAAACGCTTTGTATAACTGACTTTAGGTACTTTCAAATGATTACGATTACTTTACACAATTCCATCTCTGATTAGTATTTCATCAACTACCTACTTATCTTAAAGTTTGGAATATATTGATGATATTATTTACATTAGAAAGAAAGAAAGATTTTTTTTATTATGATAAAATTCTAAAATCTCTACTATAAACCGCTTCGGTTACGAATATTTCGATTAACTTTCCCTATGAAACGAACACAAGGATTTCTGATCCTTCATTTCAAAGGAAGTTATATTAATTACCTACAATATAATATAATATGTTGGTGCACAAATACATAAGTTAGACCAAAATTATGTATTTATGTATTACTTATGTATTTGTGAGTTCTTCTAAACTTTTAGGGTTGATAAAGTAAAAAGTCATGCTTATTAGGAACTTTGAGTAAAGAATTTATTTTCATATAGATTTAGTATAAGTATTATATTAAGAGTTATGTTTAACATAAAATATTGACGTTGACAATCCATGTTTAGGGCGGAAAAGATTTAACTAGCATTAAATTATAAAT